CCTACCACAGATTTAATCCATGGGCATAACAGTCTTCTCTTTGTGTTTTCACAGCCTGCCTCTTCAGAGGAAGACCTTTTGTTTCCAACCAGGATGATAAATGGGTTTTAGCTTTATTTTCTCAGAGGGAAGCTTATGTGATTGTGCTGTCTGTCATCTGTCTACTCCGATAAGTTTTAACTGCCACAGCCAATTATAATTATTTCCAAAGAAAAAAATCGCCAGAGGCAGACATCTCCATGATAATTATATTTCTATGGATTTTGTGAAAGACAGAAGCAGAGTGGGTTGGGGCTAGGAAGGAGGAGGGAGAGGACAGAGCACAAGACCACACTGAGAGCGTGTCATGTCACGGAAATCTGGGAGGCCTCAGCTGATCCCCAGCCCATCCTGGCTGAAGGCAGGCAGGCAGTCTACAAGCACTGGAGAGTCAGTTGACAGGAGTGTCTCTCCAAACATCTCACGAGATGTTTGGAGATGATCTCTTGCCCATGGGTGTTGTTTCACAGGGGACCTGGCTGTGTCTGCGGCTGCCGCTGTGCAGAGGGGGAGCAGGGAGCAGGCACACACCTCCTTTCTGCCGGCTCTGATGGGGGAAGAAGATTTAGTTGTTTTGATGCAGGCAGGGGCACTGTTTTGCCCTGGGCCTGTACTTGCAGGCTGCAAAACCCGGATGGCGGCTGGGCTGGGCTGGTTGGTGCCCCCAGGGAGGATGGATGGGCCAAGTGCAAGGCATGGCCAGCGTATGCTCTGCGTTGTAACTAATTGAACATAATGGGTACATTGTTAAAAAAGGCTTGTAATGTGTGGGACAGTGTGTTCTCTGTGCCAGTACACTAATGAAAGCTGCTAAGGCCAGGTTTGTAAATACATTTAGGTGACTGAACAAAGACACCTAAAGATAGGTAGAGGCTAATTCTTTCTGACATCAAAAGGGACTCTGACTTGCACTGCATGGGAAGTCATGTCTTAAACAGCTTTAAAGCTGGGAACATTTCCTCTTAAATATTTTAGAAGAATTGACCCCGTCTCTGAGTGAATCTTGACTGAAATGAGAGGTTTCTGGAACCCTTGAGAACCAAGTAGAAAATTGCAGTTTTTGCTTAACTGACCCATTCCCTGGAATGACACATAGTGTTTCACCATTACAGGACTTTCTTGGAAGGAGCAAAATGCTTGGAGTGAAAGCAGATCACCATCTTCATCGCCTAAATACCGTAACATATAATTTCCTTAGGCTTGTCGATAACCTGGTCCAGCTCTCCAGGCATCTCATTTAAGCAGAGGACAGCTGGAGGTAACCCCCAAGACAGCTGCTCTACCTGGCTGTCTCAGCAGTGGCCTGCAGTGGGTGTTCAGTGACCTCGAACGTAAATCTTCTGAGTTCAGGAGCCCTCGTGAAAGGAGAGGGTTTCACACGCTGGGGTTTCAATTGCCACCAAGTCACTAAGGTTACCTGATGAATCCCAGCAGCTACAGCAGCAGGTGAAAACAGGAAATGCAAAAAAAAAAAATCACTCAAATACTCAACAGGAGTATTTGAATGCATTGTAAATCAAGAAGGGGAAGGGGGAGCATGAAAGAAGAATTATTTCCCTAAAATATTTTGTTTTGAAATGGAGGACAAATGACTGCATTTTAGCCCCATCAAACTGTGAAAGGTTAACACTTTTTCACAGCATTGCTTTATTTTTGCCTAGGTCTCCAGCAACTATTACTCAAAGTTAATTCAGGCTTTGGCCCTTGGGAACTTATTTAATGTGCTAGTGCTTAGAAGTCCATTAATATTTATAAATGCCACTTGAATTCCATTTTTACTTTCTTCCCAGGCAGGAGCACTCGTAAGAAGATAATATTGTTGCTTTTATTTTCCTTTTTTTTTAACCCCCCCCTTTTTTTGTTTTTGGTTTTGTTTTGTTGTTGTTGTAGTTTTTGTTTTTGTTGTTTAGGACTATTGTAAGTTCAGGGTTGAGCCTGTTCTAAAAATGTCATATTCTATAGAGCTGTGATGTATAGTTTTGGTAGCCTGCCTATGCCCCCAGGAAGGGCCTAGGAGTTAGATCTTAGGCCTGGAAAAATGGAGATGGTGTCTATTCTCAGCTCTGCCACTGGCTAATTACGCAACCTTAGTCAGTTCATTTAACCTTGGCATGACTAGGTTTCCAGATCAAAAGCGAAAGGGATAAAAGGCTCCTTTGTGAAGGCTTCCTGGTGCTTGAGGGAGAGCAAGGTATTTACTCCCCATGAAGTTGCTGCCCTGTGACTTCTGGGTGTGGGTGGTTCCTGTTAGTTCTACCATACGAATGTCGAGTGAGTCCAGGAACACAGATGGAGGCCTGGCCACTGCATTTCTTGAGTCCAGGAACATGGATGGAGGTCTGGCCACTGCATTTCTTGCCAAGGGAGACAGCGCTCACAGTTGGTTTGACAAATCACAGCTACAGACACCCTTTGCTTTAGGCACTCAGGCTTTTATGTCACTCTTCAGCAGTTTCCTGCCAGCCACAGCAGTCGCTGCCTCCTGTACATTGGCTTGTGTATGTGATTCATGCCTGTCACAGCTTCACTTGCTGACCCCAGAGAGTGATCAATGGCACTCCAAAGAGCAGTAAACCAGTATAAAATAGTAGATCAGTGCCTAGTAGTGGTAATAAAATAGTTGCCTAATTTAAAGACCAAAACTGTGCCTTGGAAGTCATAAATAAGAGACTGATTCAGGAACAGTTTTCAAAATATATGACTTCTCACTTTTGGAGCACTTGGACTTAATCCATGTGTCAGAGTTGTGCTTTTCACAGCTTCTGAGATATGTTTCTGTACGAGCTTCTACAGCATGTGTGCACTGGGTGAAGAGAGACATTGCTGGGCAAAACAAGAGGGAAATGGTCACAGTGATGTTAGAAAATGGTTAAAAGCATGCAGCTCTTCTATTTCAGCAGGGTTTGCTTTGTGTTCCTGGTTCAGAAAGGAAAGCAGAGCTGCCTGACCTTTGTCTCAGTGGGCACCTGAACTACCTTGTGCTGCACAATCCTGCTGTCTGAAACCACCAGCAAGAAGAGGCATTGCAGACCTTTCTCAGCAGCAGAAGGCAGAGCATTACAAGACAAAGTATTTCCAGATGGACACCTCTGTGGATGGCATGGCTACTCCCAACAAAACCAGGGAAACTGCATGCATAGAGAGTTATCTTTCGGGGATTTGTGAAACCTGGTTCAGTAGTACAGAAGGCAGCACCTGAGAGAGCAACGCTCTCCCACGCGAGACTCCTGGCCGGATGAAATTTCCCATGTGCGCTGTTTTGCTTTTAGGCCAGCGTGGGTGTGCTACTGTTGCCTTAGCAACAGGGACAAATGCATGCTGCAGCTGCAGCCTTCTCCTCTTTGCAGTGGGAGGAGAGCATCCCCAGTTTGCTTAAAGAAAACACGCTGTGCAGCTCCCCACAAAGGGGACCCCAATGCCTGTGCCTATCAGCACGCCAGTGCTCAGTCTGGGCAGAGATGCACGAGCTACAGCTGACGCAGACATGTCTTCCCTGCTACCCTCTGCTCCAGCTCGTTTCTTCTGGCCTCCAGAGAACATCATCTGAGTCAGTCTGGCAGAAGCAGGATCAGCAGCTTCATGCCAGCCCCCTCCATCATATCTGGAGTCAGATGGCTCCCACTGCTCAAGGCTTTTTACTAAACTTGAATGCCTGAGGATGTCTGAGTGCTTTATGAATATCTGGAGGAAACAAACTCAGCAGTCAAGGCATCTATTAACCACTTACAGGGAAGAATCTAGAAGAATGGAGTCTCAGGAAGCAGGGGTGTGTGGGGGGGGAAGAACCAGCCAAGCCATTATTAATGTTGCCGCTAAAAACCCCCATAAATGTAGTAATCCCATATAAGACATATGGAAAATCAGTTCCTCACAGAATTTTGATTTCTGCCCTGGTTTTCGTCCTCTGTTGAACTTTGGGACTTGTAAAAACATCATGTCTATCTATAGATAGATATATACTTATCAGTCCTTTTTTAAAGCTTCACCAACACATATGTTCTTCACCTAAGAACAAAGTATGCATTTAGAGTGCAAGTATTCATAGAGCCAAAATTTTGAGACATTAAAAAGAAAGGTCCTAAAGAGGGCTACTCCTGGAGAAAAAAGTCCATTGCTGAAATAGTCAAATGTGTGTATTACAGCAGACGTAGAAAAAGGAAAATGGAGCATTTATCCTCACTTTTAATTGACAACAGATCACTTACAGATTTGTCAGTGTTTTTTGTGCTGTCTTTACGTAGAGAGTATCACTACAGCCAGAAGCAAACGTGCCCCTGGCAAGGGCTGGTTTTCCACAGGCTTTTAGGGACAAGGAGGAACTCCTCGGATCTCCTCGCCGAGATTATTCAGGCGCGCAGCGTCAGCTGACTGCCGGGAAGGGACCCGGGAAACCACAGGACTCCCTCCGCTCCCTCCCGCCCCTGCCCCGCGGGGCCACAGCCCGGCAGGCGAGGGCGGAGGGCTTTAAGCCCCCCAAGGGTGTTTTATCCTTCACAAAATAAAGGGCTCGAAATCAGTGAAACGATCAGGAAGTCTCTTAAGAGGGGGCCCGGGAGTCGCCCTGTCAACAGTTCCCCCGCTGCTAGGCGCTGCACCTTCCCCTGGCAGCCCCGGCCGCCTCAGAGCAGCCATTTTACCCGACCCTCTCCCCTGTGCGTGCGGGGAAAAGTGAGCCGGAACGCCGGGCCCCGGAGCTCGCGCGGGTGTGGAATACGCGTCCTGAAAATTACTTTAAAAAAAAAAAAAAAGGCAACCAAAACCAAAAAACGAGCTTTATTGCAGCCGTTCCCGCTGGCTGCAGCAGCTCCGCCGCCAGCAGGAGGAGGAGCAGGACGACGAAAGCAGAGCTGTCCGTGGAGCTGCCCCGCCCCTCCCGCCCCCCGCGCCAGGGGCCGCAGCCAATCAGCGTCGTGAGCGCGCCCCCCCCTCCCCCGCCCGCCCCGCCCGCTGCGGCGCCGCTCCGAGCCCGTCGGTCCGGCCCGGCCGCGCTCCCGCCGCCGCCCCGCCATGTGGCTGCTGGCCGCCTCCGTGCTGCTCGGCGCCCTGCGCGCAGGTGAGACACCGCCACACGCCCTCCCTCCTTCCCTCCCTCCTTCTCTCCCCGGCCCTTTCGGCTGCGGCCGCGGCAGCCGCCCCGAGACGCCTCCTGTGCGCCCCCGGCTCCAGCGGGTCCCGGCGCAGGCGCCCCGGCGGTGTCCGCGGCGGTGTCCCTGGCGGGGCCCCGGGGGTGAGAGGCAAAGGCTGAGCCGCCCTCCTGGCCCGCGGGAAGGGTTAGGGTGCGTGGCGGTGGCGGGAGGGCTGTTCCCGGACTGAGCCGAGCGGGGCGGCCGCCGCCTGTCCCGGTCCCGCCACCGCTCCATCCGCCTGGCGCGGGGATTCGCGTGGCCCCCGCCCGGAGCTCCCACTGTCCCTGGTGGCAGCAGGAGCGTGTGGGACTGCGGGAGCGCAGCGGGAGCTCGCCGTGCTTTGGGACGGAGCGGGGACACACATGCTGCCGTCCAGCCCCCCGCCTTAGCGCTTCCCGCACCCTCCCCGGGCCGGGCGTGCGCTGCTTCCCGCAGAAGTTGCGGGGGAGAGAAGGGACGCCGTGCGCAGAGCTCTGCTCCTCGCCTTCTTGTGCTTGGGGGCAGCTCAGCTCAGCTCAGCGTGCTTTCCTGAAACAATCCAGCTGGCCGCCGGCTGCGCAGGGTCAGTGGTTGACGACGTTTCTTGATCTTGGAAAAAGTTCGCGTGCCGTCGATATGCAGTTGGAACCGCACCGTCTTAACTTCTTCTCTGCCTTGAGAAGAAATTCGGTGGGGGGACGGAGGGTTAAAAAAGTAGCGGCACTTTGACCGAGGTGCAGGTGCTAGGGGCTTTTTCTTCTGTCAGTAAGCAGCACATCTAAATCTGCATGTTTAAAGCTTGTATCTGTGTTTAAAGCTCGTATGTACGTCTGGGTTCCTGAGTTAGCAGTAGATGGGCTGAAGAGGTGATTCCCCCAGCATGGTTTCTAGTCAGTGAGATCTGCAAGCGCCCATCAAGTGACCAGACTGAGCCAGTTTTGTCAACCCTGTGCAGTATTTCCGAAATGGCAGGGCATATATAATCTGAAACAGCCTTTCTGTGTCAGCTTCACAATTGCATATTTTTCAGAAGCCCCCAAACTGCTTAGTGTAAGGCTCTGAAATTGTCACCTTAATGTGATGCCTCTAAACTGATAATCCAGGAGAAAAGCCCGCCCAGTAGTCCGCTGCCTGCGGGATTTGGGAACTAATGCCAGAGGGTTCTATTGGCTTCCTCTTACCGCAAGAAGACTGTTGGAAGCTGATGGTGGAAGAACCATCTGCAGCAAGCAGTGAGGTTTCCTTTAGTGCAAGAGCAGCCGCACGAACTCTTGTGCGAAAGCAGCCGCATTCGCAGAGGGCAGAACCCGCACGGACGGGTCTGTTCCCTGCTGGAGCCTGTGCCTCATTCCCGCAGCACTCGGCTGTGGAGCAGCTCACACCGACACTTCTGCACTGGCTGCAGGCAAAACAGGCCAGCTCTCATGGACTGCACGCCAGCAGACCGGTGGAATCAGGAATTTACAGTTCGCTGCCACTCTGCTCTAATACTAGGGAGAAAATTTTAATCAATTCGTTTTTATTTCCTTCAGGGTGGTTGGTTTTTTATTTGCTTTGGTAAATATTTGGAAGTATAGTCCCTTCCTTTAGTGAAAAATCAGCTTTCTCAGTGAAATGAGGCTAGTGGTGAACAAATTCTTCCTATGAAATATAAATGTATTGGCTCTAAAGGAGAAAAAAAAACCCCAAACTTTTATCTTGAGGTAGTGGGAAACACATGTGAAATCTACTTCATGATGAACCGTTTAAGCTTTTAATTGTGTACACGTGTTTTTTTTAGGGCATAGGTTGAGGTTTGGTATAGTTTCCCTTTGTTCTGCTTTTGTTACTTTCATTATTTGAGGTACGGTTTAAAAATGCGATACAGTGAGTAAGCCAGAGAATAATTCTTCCTTCCTTCTTCCTTGTAAGGCACTGTCATGCATAATACAAACGGAGCCAGTTTATTATAAGCTTTTGATATTCAGTAGTAATCCAGCGACCTCTGTGAGAATAGTAAAGCAGTATTTCAAAGATGAGTGCTTTTTAAATTTGATCTGAGACTCTTGCTTTGACAAAAGGAGCTACGGCAAATAGTGACACAACTTTTATTGATTTTATTTTTTCTCCTTTCTCCCCTTCCCCTAATGAAGTTTAATAATCAAATACATACGACTAATCTGAGCTGGTTTTATACATGTGAGTAGCAGTAGTTCTCTGAGGTCCCTGGAGCTTCTCCAGTGTGTAAGTCTCTGTGCTTACAGTATTAGGGGTTGTGGTCTTGTTTTACATACCTTTTCCCCTATTTGGTTTTATCAGATGGATGTAGTAAAGCATTTTGGTAATGTCTGTGGAACTTTAGGGAGAAATTACTATTAAGAAAGCTATTAAACTGTGTTATGATTTCCCCCAAAGAAGGAAAAATATAGAAAATAAAACATTGAAAGCCTTTCATTGTTACAAATTCTCCATTTTCAATTCTGCTGTGTATACACTCGAATAAAAATAATTACATAATTACACTATAATTACACTAAGTAATTATCTCATTTAATATATGGTATTGTGAGTGCACCTTCTCCATTGGAAAGGAAAAGAGAGAGAATTTGCAAGAAATGATCTAAAACTGTGGGAATTTGGCTCCACCTTCAGAGATAAGAAGGAACAAATGAAGAAACCCTTCTTGACTAAGCTGCCCTGCTTGCCTTCTCTCAGAAGTATAAAAGTAGACTTTTTTTAACCTGTGTGCTCAGGAGCAGAAATTTGAACATCAATGGCACAACTTGTGGTTAATGTTGTGTGTGTGCTTTGCAGAAACCAGGCCTTCATGCAGTATTTCTGCATATGGCATTTTGGGGGAAGTGTCCAAGTAAGCAGCAACCCAACATTTTACTACTTTTATTTTAAATTTATTATAGGTTACGATATCTATACATTAAATGGAGGTGAGAATGGCTAAGTCTGTGCAGAGGAGTAGAATTATAATAATGCCCTTTTTCCCTTCTTTTGTTACTTCTTTAAAGCATGGTTCTCTTGTTGTGGTTTCATGGGAGAGTTTGTTTTGTTTTCCCAAGTCACATGTTGTAATATTTTTTAATTTGTTCTCCTGTGTATTAAGAAATAATTCTGAATGTGTCAATTCTCATTTTTCTTTGTAGGTTCTGCCCAGTTGATACTCACTAGAACAGACGTTGTTGAAAAAAATGACTGTAATGAAACTGTCGTTTTACCTTGTTTTGTGACTAATCTAAGGGAGAACAATGAAAATGTCATGTTTGTTACATGGAAAAAAGAAGGAAAGGTAATTTTTTCTTTTCATGGAGGAAGAAAAGAGTTTTATAGAGATGGAGACTTTTCGTCAGCAAAATTTTTATCTCAGGCGGATTTAACCAAGGGTGTGGCCTCTCTGGTGCTTACCACTAGACAAGCAACTGTTGGAAATTACAGTTGTGAAGTAACAGAATCAAACAGAGAAGGAGAAACAAAAATGGAACTTAGGCAGAGCTCAGGTGAGTTGCCTACTATTCTTTTAGAACCTGTTGGGATGGAAAACAAGGAAAATCTTAAGGGAAGGAGAAAAACAATGACCATGTCAGTGTATTCCTTGAATTGAAAAATACAAAAAATGTTGCGTCCAGGCCTTCTAACTTGAAAGTTAATAAAAGTTATTTTGGTTTAAGTTACAGGGGAGTGCTTCTGTGGGAAAGATCTGAATGCATTTTTTCAGTTTGTAATAATGTCTGAGAATGATTTGTCTACTACAGGAAAATCTATGCTTTCCCACATTTTCTTAGATTATACAGTTTTTGATATACTCATGTTATTGCATTACGTACTGAAACATATTCCTAATATCTTCATAATACTGAAATGTGTACGTTCATTACAGTGTCTGCAGAGATCTTTTCTTTGAAGAATTGCTTCTTGCAATCTTTTATCTTTGCTGGAAAATTACAGGTAGAACTAATAGAAATTCTGTATAAAAGCTCTAAAACTTGATCAGAAGTTACACAGTTTTCCAGTGAGGTTGAAAATGCAACTACTAGTTGATAATGTGTTATGATTTTCCAGGATTAAGTGTCATCTTCAGAAGATGATGTTAAAAGTGATGTTAAAATTAATGAAATTCAGTAAATGAATTTCTCATCCATTGCCCATTTGCTCCAGCACCTCAGTTGTTGAATAATGGGTTCTGCTGTACATGGATGGCCTGTCCAATGCTCTGCAAAAGTGATAGAGCACTTTTCTCTGTGTACACTGTGTACCTGTTTACTTGCTTCTTGCTTCTGGAGGGCTTCTCAGAAGCACCACATGTTGCTGCATCTGTGTAGGACATGCTGCCTTACCCATGCACTCTAGAATTATCCTGTGATGTTTTTGTTATTAACTTTTTACATTTCACGTTAAAATCTTTAGGAAGCTCAGACAGATGTCCTGCTGTGGACATTTGTGTAATTCTCAGTTGGGTCTAGTTATTCAGTTAGCCATATACACTGCAAAGTAATTGTGATCCTGAAATGGATTGAGAGGGGCACAGCCACTGCAAGTGAAGATGCTACAAAATCATTTGTTTCTTAGAACACTGCAAAAACAGGAAGAGGTCTACACAGTTCCCTTTCTTCTTTTACAGTTTATGAAACCTTTTTTGGCTGTTTTTGCCATTCATTGTTAAGCTCTACAAGAGGAAACAAGGCTTGAGAATGTAGTGGAATCGAGTTCCATTTGTGTATTTTATTTTTACTGTGTTTACAATTTTGAAATTGGTACAAAGACAACAAAGCTGGAAACTGATGTAACTTTTCTGATTTCATTTTCTAGTTGTCAGTTGCGGCGATGAAAATACAACACCAAAGGAAGAAGGTGGTTTGTGAATAATTCATAGTTTTAAGGTCACATTAGGTTTGAGAGTATATGCTAGAAAACATAAAAGTTAATCTTATGTTTAAGAGTTTAGCTGAAGGTAACACAGCTGCTTGCTCTCTCTTGCTGTTCTTCTGTACAGCTTTCTCTTGCTTGTGCCTCCTCAGTGTTCTAGAGAAACTCTTGAGACAATAAGGTAATAGAAGGAAGTGTAGCAAGTGAGTCTTGAAAAGGGTTAGTGAATTATGGAAATCCTGTACCAGTCTTCACTCTGTCATTTCTGAGCAATGAATTCATGCTGTCACTACAAGCATGTTCCAGTTGATGCTTTTACAAAGATAGCCTTAGAAGAGCCAACTATTCTCCATCTCACTCTAGAGAATTCCTGGATTCACCTAGGAATTGGGTAGCAGAGTGAGCAAGATTTCTGTCCAAGTGCCATTGTCTTTGTACACACTCTTTCCTGATCAGGACAGCAACTGTCAAATTTCCCCTTTTTCTTTTCTTTTCTACTCTTCATCTTCTCTTTTCTCCCTCCTTTTTCTCTTCTCCTCTTTTCTTCCTTCTCTTCCTCCCCTGTTTCCTTTCCCTTTTCCCTCTTCTCTTTGCTCTTCTTTTGCCTCAGTCTGGAAGTCTCTCTCATGACTTTGGAACTGACTTGCTTATATTGGCTCTCAAAATATTACTTATTGCCAGGAGTTTAGTTTATTCCTATGAAACACCAGAGTAAGGGAAATATCTTACCAGGAAAATGTGCTCAACTGTTCCTCTTATTTGCATGTTGCATGTATGCACAATATTGCAAGCATTTCTGTACAGTAGGTTCTTTTATAGTCTAAGACTGGACTATACGTGGTTGTGTGTTGCTGGCTGAAGTCCTGGCAGATACCAGGCTTTGTGGCTGCTCTTTTTCTGTTTATAATACCAGATAGTGTCATCTGGAAATGCTACAGAGGAAGTGAAGTTGCTTCTAAGTTTCCGCTTGCAGATCCTTTTTTTAATTGATTATTCTCAGTTGCATCGAACGGTATTTCTGGGATTTGGCTTATCTAGAGAATGGCAACAGTGCATTGAAGCTACCGTTCAATATTAGTTGCGTTTTTGAAAACACAAATGAAGCTGAAAGCCTTCTTTTAAACTATTCAATAAATTAACTTTGTTTTGGTGGTTAGGAAGTTGGCAGATATTCTTCCTGTTTCTTTGCCTTCAGTCTATTTTGTGTTTGTCTTTATTTCTGTTGCATCCACCAGTATCTTCTTCTGTTACTCTTGAGGGAGGTGGGGAAGGAGGGGAAAGAGGGGAATTTAGGAACTAAAAACCTGTCCTCAGGGTACTCATTTGGCATTGAAAGTTATAAAGTCTTGCTACTTAAGTCCATGTTTCTGGAGCTACAGATACAGCTTTTGTATATGGAGAGAAAGTGCAATGAATATGCATCTTAATGAAGATTAGAAATTTCTTTGGAAGCAAATGTGCAGGCAGAGGAATGGTGGCAAGTGCAATGTAAGAAATGGAGACTTGAGATTCACTGAGTGAGTCTAAATGAAGATATGAGCGGAGATGCAAGAATTAACTACATTTTCTAGTTCAGTGGAGATATTTTCAGCATTTTATGTTGGAAGGTGGCTTACAGGGTCTTACAGCACGACTGACTGAACAGCCTAAGGCATCCAAAATGCAGGGGGAAAGAAGACTAAAGGGATGATGTTGGGAAGACCTAGAATCAACAAAACAGTGTTTCCCTCTCACTTAGGTGAGCTCCTGTATTCCTTACCACACACCTGGATTTCTTCAGGAGTTGCAACAGTTGAAAATAGAATAGAATAGCTGAGAAAGTATCAGATCAGATTTCTCATATCTTCTCTGCTTGACCTAAATACATTTTTCCTGATCTGCAGTGCTGTTTGTAGTTCCACAAGCTCACTAGCTTGTAGTGCCAGAAATTAACACCAACATATCCTCTACTCCAGTGGAGGATAAGACCTCCAGTTTGGAAAATGTTAAGGTAACTGGAAATACTGAAAAAGTAGGTTGTCACACACAAGATCAGGGAGAAACCTACACAGGGAGAGGTCATAGCTTTCTTAGCCTATTATAACTCTTAATGCTAACTTACATATAATACTGAGCAATCTAGGGCATAGCCTAAAAGGAACAATAAATGCAAAGCTAATAACCTCACTTTTTGTTCTCTTCCTACTGTTTTTCTTTGTTCTCTAGGATCATGGTTCCTCCTAGTGGAAAGGGCTATCATCATATCATTGCTGTGCATAGTTATTATTTTGTGTGCGGCTCAGCTCACTGTTATTGGTAAGTGTTGGCTCTGCAATTCTTTGCAGTTATTGATTTGTCCTGAAATCACTTGCACGCATACAGGCATCTGTGCAAAATGAAAGATGGTGCTGGCATCTGAAAGATGTGGGTGGAATCAATGCAGATAATACTCAGGGAGGTGGTGTGTGTTTACCCCTAAGTAGTCTGGGCCACACTGCTCATTTGCTTGGAGGCCAGGGGTTGCTTTCTGGGGTCTGTGTTTAGAACTCGTCTGCCATGTGAGGCTGTTTTTGCTGCCAGGACTGTATCATTTGCAAAATGATGTGCTCTTTTGCAGGTATATAATTTTTGTGGCATGTAATTGATAATGAGTACTGTGGTTCATTAGAACAAGGAAACTCTTCTTCACAGTTGGTACACCATGATTTTATTGTAAAATTAGAAACAAAAATGTTTCATTTTATGGTCATAAAATCAATATTAGAAAAGGGTGGTTCTGTCTTCCTGATGTAAAATTGTTCATTAGTCTCTTAGCACTGTCTGAGTTATAATTTAACACCAACATCTGTGATTTTGTTAGATGTTTTTAGAGGCAATACAATCATTCACCAGTGTCAGACATCCTTGGGTGCTCTTTATGCAGTGGTGTCCAACTGCTGTGCAATGTAGAGTGTGCTTTGTTCTGGCCTTTCAGATGGATCCCTTGTGGTGCAGTTTGTTACATCAATCTCTGAGGTTTTTCAGGCTTTCTCAATTTGTAGACTTCTAAACAATTAAAAAAACAACTCAGTTCTGCTAAGAGTCAAGTCCATAAGAAATGGAAAAAATCGCACTCAGAGTGATTTGTAATAATCAGATATGTATCCAGCCATCTATATGTAATTTCCTTTATTACCTTTTCATGAACTTCTGGAAGTGGTATGTGACTTTTCAAAGGTCCATCCATGGTCAGAGCTTGAAAACTAATACAGTTTTTTAAAAATTCTTTTATTTCCATCATGTTGGATTAATTTTTGGCTTAGGAGTCTCTGATATGTTCAGGAATTGTCATTAGATTGTGTAGAGAGGAGAACTTCAACATTTTTAGGAAAGCAATAGTTTCATGGAGAAGCAGTGTCATTTTATAGGAGTAATTTGAGTGTGCTTGGATGTTTCTGCACCTGGGCAATTTATTGAAAGGTCTTTGACCTCTGTGGGGAAAAGAGTTTTGCTACCTCTAACTTAATTGTTGGGATTTTTTGGTTTGTTTAGGAGGGGGTTTTTTCCTTTAAAAAAACCTGTGAATCCATCAATGCTACTTTTAGGAAACCTGTGAATCCATCAATGCTACTGTATACCTTTAAATAGCTTGTTAAATTGGGCATGGTTTTTCTGTGTAACACTTTGGAATGTATGGTTTTTTGGGGTTTGTGGGTTGTGGGGGTTGTGTTGATTTGTTTGAGGTGGGGATTTTTGGGGTTTTTGTTTACAGGATTGGCTTTTAGGATTTAAGTTCCTTTGGGGACAGAGGTGATATGTCTGAGCTCACACAGAGTCATGAGGAAGAGAATGAAACCTGGAATTTATGAATTCCTGTCTGACACTCCACCTGAGTAACAAATTCACTGTAACATTTAAATGTCAGTAGTGCATCTACCTGAGTTAACTTTGGGACATGGCACAGGTTACTTTAACATATCACCTGAATTATATGGAAGGAGAAATTTAAGAATTTGACCAAAACACCACTGCCAGGTTTCATTTTTCTGAGTAAGCCATATTAACCATATCCAGGAATGAAAGCAAATTAAATCTTGGGAATGTATATAGTTTTAATTTTTAGGAGTTTGAGTTTCTTTGCTTAGGAACAGTTCTGATTGTTTTCCTTTCTGTCTCCCTTTTTTTTTGTCTTCAAGCATTAAAATATGATATTGAATCTCAGAGGAAAGTGTGCATTATAGTAACAGTTGTCATCTTAGCAGTTGTAGCTGGTGTAGGCACTGCTCTTTTCGTCCAAGGTAAGTGATGAAAATTGCTTTCTTAATTTAAGGGAAAAAACAGCACAAAAGGATCTATTCCATGCTGTAGTATGGAAGTTAGCACCACCTATTAATTGCCATCTACTTATTTTAAATTAAAAAAAATTATATAGACTACAACAGAAACAATGTTGGGGTTGTAAGGCCCTGAAGTGATCATAGGAAGATACAGCCTCTGAATTTTATGTTTTCTATCCTACTGCCTTGGGTGAAAATTAGAGACTAGAGTGACTTCTGGTGGTTCAGTGGGATTTTTTCTGAACCCTAGAAGCTTGATGATGCTAATGATTTATGTTTGTTGCTTTGTGCTTTATTCCAATTAACGACTTCTGTTTTACTAATTTCCGTATAAATTTTTGTAGATGGCTACACTGCACTGAATCAAGCTGGTCTTGGCCTAATTGTAGTCCCTGCTGTGATTTTGGTACCACTTCAATACTTCATGTTTGGAATTGGTGAGTGTTTATTTATTCCTTAATATATGGATGGAAAAAATTGAGCTCTCCCCCCATAACCTACAGAATATTTTTAGTTTTATAAATAGGTGCTACAACAGCATCCTGCATTCCTGACATTTCTCATATCTCAAAATAAAATGTTCAGCGTGTTTGTTTGGCTGAGGTGCCTACTTGAAGAATGAGATTTAGGGTAGCACATTTGAGTGATTTCTGCTCTTCCTTCCTGGGTTTAGGGATTGGGTTGAATAACTAGCTCTCAGAATGTGTGTGTAATTTTTTTTTTATTTGTGGTTTATTTATCATTTTATTTATATTTACATAATTTTTAGGTGTGTGAATACCTACAAGAGCCCTGCCTTACAGTGGCTTTTGAGTTTTGTTATGACATTGACTGGCTGAGCTTAGAATTTAAGAGAATCTGCTTTCTAACTTTATGTGAATTATCTACCTTTTGTGTCTCTGTAGTTAAACTTGAAAAACTACAGTTTTGTTTGTCTTTCTTTTTTTCCCAGTTTTTGACAGCCTACCTCATACAACACTGGCTCTGATAGGTTTGAAAATTCTTGGTTATATAATTGCAGTGGTTGGTTTTGCACTGTGTGTCCCAGGTAAGCAATTTGTCTTCTATGGAAGTGTTTTTTAATTTTGTTTACACCTCATGTTCTTTATTTCTAACCCTAAAAAGCTGTGAAAATGGCTACTCCACATGGAGTGTTAGCAAGTAACTTTTGTAAATGTAGTTTAGGACTGCTGTGTTAATGCCCTTTTATCTGGTGAAAGAAGAATAGCCCATAGGCACTATTAAATATATCGGTTTCATAACTGCATTCTAGGAGCAGTTGCTTTATGAAAAATAAAATTTAATTGTTTTAATTTTGCATGTTAAGGCCTTAAAAGTCAGTGTTGATTTTAGGTGACTATTATTGTTATTCTGAGGATTAGGGTATTTAGAAACTAAACTAGAGTCATAATAATTTTCTCATGTTCAATGAGTAAATCAGAAATTCCTTGTTAATCTCTGCTTGTATGCAACTGAGTCCATGAATATTTCAGTGAATACCATTGAAACACATTAAGAAGGTAAATGTAGAGACAATAAATGTGGCAGTGTTCTTGGACTATTTTAAATCTGGTTCTGGTTGGCATTCTGTTTCACCATTGAAAAACAGTCACTGTGGTAAAGGGACTAACTAAACACCACACACAGTGATATCCCTTATTCCTGCCTCTGACCCTCCCTTTACCCCCTCCCTACCTTCCCCTGCACCCACCAGAGAACCCTACAGCAGAGAAAAGGGTGAATTTAGGACTAGGCATCCTTGGCAGTATATTTAGTAGTAGAATATACACATACTTGTGTTCCTTGTAGGTGCTTTATGCTCCTGATTTATTGTTTCTTAGAGACATTCTTCATTTTAGTAATTTATTTGGTTGGGGATTTAAGACCTATTTTTCCTTGAAATGCTTTTTAAAGGTTTGTGTAATCTGAGTGGAATGATAGACCTTTCAGTGGGGTTATGATTTGAGTTTTATGCTTATTGTTTAGTATTTACAGAGGTATTTTTAAGGGGCACCTAAGTGTTTTAAGATGTAATAGTAAAATAAACTGATAGGAGATTTCTGGTAAAGCATTAATGCTCTAGAGTAACACAAAATGGAGGATGTTTTTATTACCCTCTCAATGAAAAGCCTCTCTGTTTTTTCAGGGTGGTCTCTTCCCAGGTCATACATGGTTGATGTTACCTGTCTCTCTGGAAGTTTAGCTCAATGACCCTTAAGCTTCAGTAGAAATTGCTCATCCTGGGTTGAGCTTGCAGATAGTTGCAATGACTTTTAAGTGCCTGGAAAGGAGAATCAGAGAGAACAAGGAGTTTTAGTAGTGAAGTATGATTAGGTTTTAATAGCCTCTTCCTGTTCTGGTATCCCTGTAAACATGGAGCATTCCTGTTACCTGTGGTTGATTTGCCCCAGAACTGCCCACATATTCTGCACCCTTCTTCTCTTTTTTAATCCTGTTTTTTCAATAGCAGTATTGTTTTCTGTAATCTGATGTGATTACAGTTCAAAACAATTGGCATTGAAGATGTAAAGTTTAAACTTAAAATACAGTTAATGAAAGAATGTTGTCAATTGCAGTGAATGTCAGTAGAATACCTAAACTAATAGAATAGTACATGTAATTAGAATAAATCAGTAAATGCCTGTGTATCACCAAAGAATGTATACAAAAAAAAGAAAGATGCAGTAGTAGTTCTTGGATAGCTTTGAAAGAGAAATTAATCACATCTGTTTTTATCAGGCTTATTTATTTTAATAATGAGTTATACCTGAAAATAAAAGTTTGTGCTTTTACTTGTGTCAGATGATACAGTTGCTTTTATTGTGTTTTAAACAGCCTGTCCTCCATTACATGCGTCTGTTCTGATTGCTGGCTTAGCTATTATGGCTACTGCAAGTTTGCTCAGTCTGGTTTACGTGTTTATTATGGGTAAGTAGCACCTAATATTTTGCTTTTTTTAAAATAGATGTTTTTTATTTGAGCATAAGGTGTGATTTCATAATTACATAGTTTTAAAAATGACTGAAGAGTTGTCTGTATGTGTTGGCTCTGTTTCATAGAGCCTGTAGGGAATCTTGAGTAAAGAAATCTGCAACTGGTCATAAACTGTTTTGAGAAAACACAGCCAGGTTTCTTAAATAAGATTGTTTCAGTTGTAGGAGGGTTGCTGTTTAAGTTCTGCATTTACACAGTTGGGGTGCTGAAGCTTAGAATGCAGACAGCAAAGGGATATCAAGGATTTCATGGAGTGGGTTCAGGATGGTGATGACGAGCTTGTCAAAATACAGATTTAAAGAAGCAAAATCTGCCTGCTGGTTTGCACTGGTTATTGGTGGGTTAAAGTAAGACCAATTTCAATGCACACCTTTCATTTTTAGTGAATCATGGGTTTACTTATGCATAATTTTAAAAACCAAGAGAAAAGAATAGCAAGCCTTTGTTTCAGAAACTGGTCTGGTCTCTTCATCAGATCTCAAAAAGATGAGAGATTTAAAGATCTGCTAAATAAGCAACAACCACAGCAATGCTGTGTGGTCGGAATGCTGGCACAACACAGCATAACGTTATGTGGACTCCACAGCTTGGGTGGGAGAGCAGAGGGACATTATTTGTGTCAAGCTGTGCGTGAAGGCTCTTCAAGCAGCTTGTTAGCTTGGACACAGAACCCTGAGTTGAGGATATGTTGCTTCCCCAGTCTGCACTGAACTGTGCAGGCTTCCAGGTTTAGTGCGTGCACACCATATGTGGGCATGGCCAGAAATAATGGATGCTGAGACAGGGAAGATTTCCAGTAAAGACGAAATTAAGGCAGCATGCCTAATATTTGATATCCAAGATAGGTGAAGATGAGTCAAAAATGAGACAGAGCCGAAGCAAGCCTTTTAATAACAACAATAAAAGTATTTTTTAATTGATTTTGGTCTACTTGTATATGACTTAAATACTGTGTGCTATTACTGGTCTGCATAAATGTTGTATTTGCGGTTTGGTTATACTGGCTGAAGAAATCAAATGTGACGAGGGGTAGACTAGCACACCAAAATAAGCACAGTGAATAGTGTGTAGTGTAATTCATTTTTAGAGCTGAGCGCATGAGTGAGACAATTTGCAGACTGTATGTGATAAGATTATTCAGTTTGTAAACAGAGGAGTGCTTAGAGGCTTTAAGAATTTGCAGGTCATCAACTTAAGTCATTTTGGATAGGGGAAGCTTCAATTTTGTATGTTGCTACTCTGTTGCAAGATTTCTCAGTAGATAATACCTTTTCTCAGATAACAAGTAACAGGATGAGAGGAAATGGCTTCAAGTTGCACCAGCACAGGTTTAGATTGAATATTAGGAAAAATTTCTTCACTGAAAGGGTGGTCAAGCATTGGAACAGGCTGCCCAGGGGCATGGTGAAATCACTGTTAATGGAAGTGGCACTTGGGGAGATGGTTTAGTGGTGAAGGTAGCAGTGTTAGGTGAATGGTGGGGCTTGATGTTCTTGGAGGTCTTTTCCAACCTTAACAAGTCTATGATTCTTTGTTTTTTATTTGGTTGATCGTGACATTTATTCATCTGCCTGGTCACTTTTTTGTAATTATTTTAGGTTCCAGAATGAAAGATCATCCTCGTCCAGGGGTAAGCTTAAAATTAATAAATTTGGGGTGACTAGATGGCTCAGGGGATTGTAGTGAGATACTGAACCTTTCTTCACTAGTTCGAATTCAGACCAGGTTGGTAGCAAGCAAAAGTTCTGGCTGTGTAACAGATGTCTAATGTTGAGTGAGTTGGTCTTCATTGTCCCTATTGAGTGTGTCTGTAGTACTGTAATTGCCACCCTTACCTGGTGGCTACTCCGACTGTTGTGCCCAAGTGGAGTTTCCATTGCTGTCACTAAAAGGTGGTGGATGTCAAGGGCATTCTTTTACAATGCAGTCTTTCATCTATATTTCTAAAGACCTCCTGCTCACCTTCTTGAAAAGCTTTTTCATTAAGGTGAGTGCAAAACATCTAGGTGGCTTGTAAGAAAGACTTAGGAGTTTTTTTCTGTTGTTTTGTACATCAAAACTCTGTGATATTCTCTTTTAATTCCTGGCTATGTGGATGGTATAGCCTTGACCTTTTTTCTGATTTCCCTATAATGCCCCTTAATTTGATGAGACCTTCTGAAAACAGAGTTCTGTCTTTAGGTAACACAGAACAAATCAAAAAACACCTTGGTTTTTTTAAAGAATGTTTTTTGGACAGATGTTTTGAATTCTAGAGTAATAATTTCCAAAACAGTAATTTTCCTAGGCTTGGGCAGTGCTTTCGATTGACTCATGAATGTGAACTGCCTGATTTCTGGCGTTTTTGCACAAGCAAGTAAAGAGGCACAACTGTAAAATACCACTAAAATACCCTTGTAGCAGGGGAACATCTCTTTACTGGCAGCCATTGTTTGAGGCACCTTTCCAGGTCTCCAGTCTACAACCTGAGAGCCAGCTGTTAGAGAAAGATGGTTTCCAAAAATGGGACATGAGAGCTGACTGCAGTTAGGATAAGAGACTTTTAATTTTTGATTGCTTTTTCTCATCCATTGTCATTTTAAGGAGTAGTATTTCAGAGGATTGGTTTCACTTATGGAAGGAATATAAATGCACAGAGTTTAAAAAAAAAAAGAAAAAGAGATTCAGAAAGGTAATTATGTTATAAAAATGAGCTGAGAAATTTAATTAAAGATCTCCTTTATTCAACATGCAGTCTTGTCTGTATCTAACATCCTTGTGTTTACTTGTAGAACAGAAGTAAACAGAGTAAGAGGAGATTTTTTTCCTTAACTTAGTTTTGTTTGTAAATAAACTTTTAAATAGAAACCAGCATGCAAAATAGCATCCTTTGATGAGGACTCTGTCCTCTTTGTGAGCTGTTCAGGATCCTTACAAGGTGGTTTTACATTGCAGCAAGGATTTGAGAAATAAACAAATAGCCACAGTAAGGTAGTAGTGAACATTGTGTTACTCTCTGAATTGGAGATAGGAATGAAAGCAAAAGAAATTTTGAAATCTTAGAGGTCTCTTGGAAATCTCAGCCATTAAAAATATGTTTTTTGTAGCTGCTGTTAGTGCAGGATTAGATACAAAGGAATTCAGGTGATGTAATTTGTGTCCATGAAGTACATGCCTCAGGGAAAGACTTAGTGGAAACTGAAGTGTGTTAATATGTTGCTTGTTTCCACCCAGGGCTGTTCAGCAAATATTACTGTGCTTTGAGGCAGTAAATGAGTGTGAAGGAATTCTGAAAATATACTTTGATTCTGTGTCATCTAAAGACTATGGAAAATTTAATATTGGTGAAGGGCTTCATTTTGATGCTGGGGCAAACTTACAAAATGATTGAGATTTTCTTGAGTTGGAGGTGGGAAAAGCTGTGTGTTTTGAAATCTGCCATCTTAACCAAGTACTGGTATTTTTTTAGCACTTCTGTAATTGCGTGTGTTGTTTCTAATGATTGTCTTCCAGACTAAATGCACAACTGTCGTGTATTTCTTTTTGAGGAGATTCCACTTGATTGCTTGGCTACTAATTTTTTTTTCTTTTTAGTCCTGCTGCTTTGTTACTAACCATTGATCAAATGGCACAAATAATCGGTTAGGTGTTGGAGCTTAAAAGTAGTATCTGCATGCCTTCTGCTGCCACCTAGGGGTATTTCATCTGAGCCAACATTCACAGTGGGGGATAACAACCTGGAGAATGCAGCTATTGATTGATTTAAATTTCTTTTCAGAACTCTAGTCAGCAATTTGATTAACGTTAAGCTTTCTTCGTTTTTGTAGAATCACTACTTACTGTATATGTCAATTAGAGTAATTTAACTGTGGCGAGCCAAAAATAAACATGAAGGCTTTTTATACATATATATATTTTTAAATGTTTTGCAGAAAGCTGTAGAAGAACCACTAAATGGTAGGTGATATTCAAGGCTTATCTTCTAATTAAGGGATTAATGTTGGAAAAAGGTTGAACAATAATTGTAGTTCCCAGTAGAACAGCACTGAAATGGCAGATCAATATGTCAATGTATGTGGCTCTGTGAGTCACAAGAGTTTGATCTCTCAAGGAAGTTATGGCAGATCCAGGCTCCCTGCTTTATGCTACTTTCCTTGCTAACCAGTGGCATTGTTTGACTGTTGTAGGACAAATCTAATATTTTTAGGATATTTTATCCACCCTCTCTGCTTTGTAAAATATCCAGCTTTTAAGAGAAAAAGAAAGACAGGTGTTGATATTAATTCCTCAAAACCATTTGTTTAGGTGAAATACTTCTGATTATAGTAAAATCTATCCTTGCCACTCTATTCTTGCCATATTTCTTTGGGTTGGGGAAGCTCTGGCATGGTTTGGGGAAACTCTGCTAGCACTTAAGGTGAGGGAAGTTTACAGTGAGAAAGGGATGATTCTAAAATTCTATTTGTCTTTTTTTTCTTCGCTATTATAATCACTAATTGGCATGCTGAGTAGTGGCAAGTTCTAATCTGAATTTTAGAATTAATCTGAATGTTAATTATGAAGCATTTCTTGCTGAATCGTTACTAATCCATTTGCTTGGCTTTTAAAGATGCAAAAGGAGTGATGTTAGAATGATGGTAAGTCCAAATATATCTCAAGATATCTATTTAATTGAATGTGTATTTGAGGATGTTTACAGTTACTCAGTGCTAATATGATGAAACTTGGAGGGCAGTTTCAGGGCAGGTGCTGTTCTTAATTCAAATTATATTTAATTGAAAAGAAGGAGAATTTGTATTCTATATCATGCATAGGGGAGGAATGTGTATTCCTAAACAGTGAAGAGAATGAGTCAGTGAGAGAACTATTCAATAGGATGTTTCTGATCAAATGCAGAAAGTCAAATACCTTTATGCTTCCTTTATGCTCATACAGTATTCAAGATGCATGGACTGTTTCCTTGGTGGTGGGCTGTTCTATATGAGTTTTTTTGGGTTTTATTGCTGGATTTTTTATATAACTGAGCTTTCACTATGCATTTAATTTGTGATCACCCATGGAAATTCACAAGAAAGTGGTCTAAAAGTAACTTTCTGTCCCTCTCCCCCTCTTTAGGTGCTACTTTATTTCTCTTGGTTTCATTAGATTGCTTGTATTCCAGTCAGATTTCACTGAATTTATTATTTTTTCAGATTGCTCTCATTGAAGAGCTTCAATTTTAGGTTAGATGCTAACATTTGAAAATCAAAATGGTTTTGTTGATCGTTTTCTATTCAAAAGCTGTACTTCCTTTTCATGGGAATAGGATAAAGGAGCACTTGTTGGTGCTGTTGGTATTTATGTTTCTTCCTGGAAACTGAACAAGCTTGTGATGAGGTATCACTAGACCCTTAGCCTGGTACTCCTGCATTAAATGACAACCTCTTGCTACTCAGGATAAAGAGTGAGGCCACTCAAATCTGTTAGTTCACTTGAAAGACTTTTATATCATGCCACTTCTAGGAGGCGTGAATTGACAATGTGACAATAAATAAGGTCCTAGTTAGCCCTAACTGGAAAAAGGTGTGTGAGTTGGTTTTTAAAACCAGACTTCCTTACAAATACTATGTGCTGTTTATGTTACTATATGTAACATATAACTTTATGTTACTATACTGTTTATGTTACTTACGACTACTACATGGTTCATCCAAGTATCCAGTATAATTATTTTCTAAACCAGTAGGAATACAAGCACTTCTACAGTACCAAGGGCAACTGCATTGGTGTCTCCTAAATGCATTGATAAACGTATACCAGTTAGTAGAATCTGAATTAGGAGGAATGGAAGGTAGATCTTACTCCAGAAGTGGCTACTGCTTGTTCTTCACAGAGTGGTTTGAGATCAGGAAATAAATAGATATTTGTTAGTTTATTGCATTCAAAAAAGACCAGAAGGGAGGTAAGGATGGGTCCACTGCAGTTACCACATACTGCTAAAGGACAAGGTAGAGTTTGGCTTGGAGATCCAATTTCAAAAAAGTTGACTGTTTCTTCTTGAGTCTCCTTTAGGCTTATGAAAACCCACCTCCTCTTCTAGTGCTGAGGTAGAGCTTCCAAAGCCCAGAAATTGCCACTTATCCATTTCATTTTTCCTTTCAGGGTAAGGCTAGAAATCTGTCTGCTTTTTCTGCCTAGAAAGAGGGCTCCTAAAAATTAACAGAAGGTTTTACAGATGGAAGGCAAGTGCTCTGACTCAAGCTGGAGGCAGTAACCTTTGGAACTCTACCTGCTTTGTACCCTTCCCCTGAAAGTTCACACACACACCAAAGGGGGGTTGAGTCAGATGCTGAAGCACACTAGCTTACAAAATAGCATGTGAAAGTAAACTGGCATTAGGAGTAAAGACAGGGTGAGTCAGACAGCTGAGTCTGGGAGCCACTTCAGCTTATTCCAATTCATAAGTGAGAGAGGTCTCCAAGGCAGCGTCCACTTTTCTGTAGTGGAGAGCCTGAAACATCACTTGCTGTTACTAACACCCTTTTCCATTACTTGACCGCTAAACATGCTTTCTAAGTTTGAAATGAAAAAAGAAGTGATTTTTTTTTTAAGCTGTAACTTGGGTTGCTTTTCTTCCCAAACAATCTTTTTTCTTTTAAATTCTCAGAACTGCCGAGTTATGTGATGCGCAAACAAAATGTACACCGTTGTTGATACACCGTGGCCTTGAAGATGCACTACTCAACGAGAAGAAATTCAGGAAACTGGTTGTTTTGCATGTGTGGCAAAAGTGCTTTTGATATAAATGACGTAATTTTATAGTCACAGCAGCTGTAGCAAGGAACATGTGTGTTTGCCCACATGTGATCTTTATTTTCTTTTGTTATGGTATATATGGGATGGTTGAGGGTGAGAATATAGAAAGCACTGTTTGCCCACTACAGGGTCTCCCTGCAGTAATCCTTAGTGGTATTATTTTCAAAAACTATCATTAGTCACTGCTTTGATAATGGGCCTGCTCAGCCCAGAGGTTGCAATACCATTTAGACTATTGTTTTCTTTATTTGTGTGCATGGGCAAAGTATGGTCTATGTGTGTGATACAAGCAGGAAGTAGAGATTGTAAAAATACATCTTTTCTGACATTCAGCAAAACTTGTATAAGAAAAAGTAAAAACTTTTACACAAAGTTGCATAAGTACAAAGTTTACTCCCAGTTCTCCTGAAGTCATTAACAGAGTTCTAATTCCACAAAACATTAGTATTCCTCTCTCTGGACAGTAGCCAGGTATGCTGTGGTGGCCGGTATTTTTGTCCAGTGAGAGAGCTCTCCGTGCCTCCTCTGTATTCCTGGATGAGAAACTGCTCAGCTGTTGGAGCCTAATTCAGCACTGGAATTACGGAGCACAGCAGTTAGTAATTTTCATGCTGAATGTGGTTCTTGTGTGTGTGTTCATGTTGTGCAGTGTGTGGTACTGGAAGCAATTTCAGGCTTTCTTAACTCAGTGAATTTGTAAAAGTCGTGGATGCTTCATAAAAATAGGAGTCGTCCAATTTAGTGTATTTTTGGCAGAGTTTTAGAATCTTGTTTTCTTGAATGGAAAAAAGGAGCTATATAATTTTTCACCGAAGTTTATGTTGTTGCCATTATATCACAAATACATAAAATACAAAGTAAGTAGGAGGAGCTGATGAGAAATGAGGAAGCTCAGTTTCTGTATATATATATATGTGGTACAGTTAAAAATCAGTTTTCTAGGACTTGCACATTCCATGGGATTTTACCACATTTTACAGCTGTTATGAGAGTTGTTCCAATATACTTGGTTTCTCTTGGACTTTGTGTATACTTTGTAGAAATCTTGACACTGTCTGCTGTTTGTACTAAGGTATTGTATTTCAAAGATACACATGGTTTTCTCCTAACAATTTAAAACTTGGTTTGAAAAGCTGTTGCCAAGCAGTTACGTAATAAAATCCACGTTTTTAAAGATTCTGAGTAATTTGGCACTTCTCAGAGTTGAATGTTACAAAGTAAGGTTCCATATCCATATCGTGGGTGCATGTTGCAGAAATTTGGGTCTCTGCATGTTGAGCTCCAAGTCTTGATGCACTTGGCATCAAGAATTCAACAAAACAAAATTGAGATACCTGATTTTACAAGAGGTGCTGTTGTAAATAGCCCTCTTGCTAAGGCTGCAGGATTGAACCATTTAAAGCAACCTGTGGTCCAGCCCTCACTAGGATCAGTGGAACTGGGCACAGAGAAGAGGATCATTCATGTGATAAAACATGGAAGAAGCATGTGTGGCTTACACTCACTGTCGTACTTTGTCAGTGGGAGTGTTCATGTAAGATTTGAGCTCTTACCTATGAATCTTTTGATACAGGTTTTTCCATAATGTCAGTGATCTCTAGCTAAAGATGGGAGATGATTCTCCATTAACAATTCAGTGTAAGAATTTATCTGATTAGTACTGTGCAGTGCTCCCTATTTATAACTAGTGATTCCCTCTGGCAAGTTGAAAGTCTAGCAGCTGAGGAAATAAAAAACCAAATCAACTGGAATTCTGTTGAGGTATTCTGCCTTATAAAAACTGTTATGTACAATAGCTTTATGTTAACTTCTGTAAAGCAAACTGCAGCAGAGCCCAGTTTGTGTCACCATGGGATCAGGCCGAGCTCAAAACCTGAGGAGCTCAGTGTCCATGTAGGAGCTGCAGAATCAGTTGCCCCAGAAATGGGAGAAACCCACTGTCCTGTTGTGTCAAGGGCTGGATTTTTTGTAGGTACAAACTTAAAAGCAAGAGTTTAAAAAGTCATTGATACATCCAGCCCTTTTCCACCAGTAATTTAAGACCAAAGTTGTTCATAACTGTATGCTTTCATTTGTGTGTGTACATGTGTGTATATATAAACATACAGACATTTGAAATATCTATAGATCTATAGTCTTTACCCAAGAAAATGTTTTTATTTATTAAACAAGAAATGATTTTGTAAATATCGTGCTAATATACTTAAAAAATAAAGTCATTTTAAGTTGTTTTTGTGGGAGATTTTCTTGTTGCTTGCACATTGCAATTCTGTAACTGCTTCATAAATTCACAGTCATAGCTGCTCTTCTCCCTGCCTTTATGTATGACTTACTGGATATACAAGAATGTTCTCAGTGTTACAGAGGCTGCTGCAGATGGTTTTGGTTGGGTTTCTCCTTCAGAAGGTCATCTGGTTGGTGAAGCAAGTGTGTAGATTGCCCTGTAATAACTTCAATGGCGCTGACCAACATCACCCATCAGATGTTGTCACCTGGAGTATGCTGTGGGAGGAAATACGAGCTGAGGACTAACAAGCTCCTGGAGTAACTTGAAAAGCACAGCAGAGCACCGCATATCTCTAGTCAGTCTTCACAGTGCTGGAGTGGTGTTTCCATGAGAAGAGGATTTCTTGTGTTACTGCTAAAGCACTACTGTATAAATTCTGGATTTTCTGAAGTTACATTTAATGTTTGACAGTGGAGAAAAGACAGAAGGCCACAAGTGCTGACCGGTAGCACTTCCACTCACACATCCTCTTCGGTGGAACTGAGCTGATGGGAACAGTTGAAATTATTAGCAATTCCCTGCTTGTTCAAGGTGATTTGAACCGTGGCTGTTGAATTTTAAAGATCCCTTCAGAAATGTTTTGTGACTTCCTTAGACACACTTTCCTCTCCAAAGGAGCCGTGAACCACAGTTTGAGCGATGAAATTTTAGTTTTGCTGTGCGGGGACCTAACTGCAAAGTGAACTGTAAGCTCAGAGTGGCCCTGGTTCTAAAGCTCAGGAAAACTGCGTGCTTGAATTCTGAGGTGAGAAAAATGGTGCTAATCTAAGTGTATGTGGCTGGAGGATATCTCAATGCAATATTGTCAGGGATACCTAATACCTGTAATCCTGACTGCTCCAGTCAGTTAAGCCAGGAAAACCAACCTCAGCTGTCCAGTCCAGAAGCCTTCTGACAGAAGCTTCAGTGCTTTATCAGAGCTCTGTAAATGAATGTTTATCACCAAGCTACCTGCCTAATAGTAGAAGTGGGCATTCTCTAGTTCATTCTGCTTTACAGAAGACTTTTTTTCTATGGTAAATAATTCTTTTGTGCTTTGGTGCTCTGTGCCTGCGTCATAGATACAGCCAGTACTATCTTGGACTACAGTACATCTTGCTTCCTGTATCCTTGAGGATTCTTGCAAAGCTTTCATGATGAAAAAAAATTGTGAGCTGGAGTGTCTCTTGTTTTCTTGTTGGTTGTCTACCGTGCCTGCTGCAGAAGTGGGGCAGTGGTCCATCATGGCCTGGTAGGTGTGCCCCAAATCCTGCACAGGGTGCCTGCACCCCTGTCTCAACCCCCTTCCCTGCTGTGGCTGGGCTGTGGTATAAGGGTAAGGAGTAGTTATAAAGGACAAGGAAAGGGCAGAACCAGATTACTTTTCAGTGAAACGATGAATTGGCAAGAAAATTTAATACACAAATGTAAATAGCAGGGAGACAAGGATCATCTGCTTTGGGGGTGGAAAGCTGCAGTGTTGAAACACGTTTTGGTTTCCTTCTGTTCTTTTGCTTGCTTGTTTTTTAAAGACTACAGAAAGGAGGCTTTTGAAATTACTGGGCTGGAGAGTGGGTGCAATGCAGGGAAGAGAGTCTGCCATGAATACACAGTTGGTGGGAGAAGTATTTTAAAGGGTGTAGGAACTGCAGATTTGTTGGAAGAGCGGGAACAATTTCTCCTAACTTGTCTCTAACAGTGGTACTTTTGGACCCTTCAGGAGTTGTGGGACTATTTCTGTTTCTTTACTGAAATGGGTGTCAAGCATTGGAATGGGCTGCCCAGGGAAGTGGTGGAGTCACTGTCCCTGGAGGTGTCCAAGAAACAACTGGACATGGTGCCCAGTTTTGTTGGCAAGGTGGTGTTGACAGGTTGGATTCAGTGACCTTGGAGGTCTTTTCCAACCTTAAGAATTCCATGATTCTGTATAGTGCAAGCATGTGACCCACCAGCTGACCATGTAGAGGTCCTTGGGGACATATAGTTGTCAAATGAAGTCAGCACGCTACCTCCACACCTCAGTGATGTCCCCTGGGCATAGTAACTGCCTGGTGCAGGGTAAGGTCTGGCACACCTTCAGCTTGAATTAAAGTACTGAATTTTATTGTCAATTTACGTACCTGCACTTAATGAAAGATTTTTAGTCGACACTCCCTGTGGGTGCAGGTTAAACTAGGAATTACCAGACATGTGGAAAAATGAAGGATGACCTTTCTCAGAACTTCAGCCTTAGGGTTGGCTTGAGGTTATATTTGGTTGCATTCATTTGCCTTTCCTTTTTGTCTTCTAGAAGTGCTGAGGGAATTGCTTTCAGAACAAGAACATTTGGTTCTGTTTTGGGCATTTGGGTTTTTTGGGGTTTGTTTTTTTGCTGTGTAAGAAAGCAGTATTCTTTAATAAATTAGATACATGGGAAAGAGAAAAAGCAACAAACCAGCAGAAGTTTACTCTGTTGTTGACCAGAAGGTTCATCCAAGGACAAATGATGGAAAGTTCGAAGACAACAATAAGGAGAAAAGGGATCTTTAAGGTCTGTTCTTTACAATTAATTTTTAAGTTTGAGCATAGCCAGTTAAGATAGTCTTACTGAGGCAAAAGGTGATTCAGGATTCTCTGACATTTTTTACTTGTTCAGCTGCGTGAAAAAGTGAAAATTCACCGTATTAAAGATGAAGTGGCAGTAAAGGAGCTGTGTGGTGTGCAGAGCTCTGCAGGTATGGGGAGCTGGCCTAGATAGAACTTGGAAGATTTGATTTGTCCCACATTAAGAAACACTGAGAATTAAAGGATCATAATAAAAGTATATAATTAAAGGAACCCCGCTTGGTAACAGATTCCTCTGTAGCCTGCACTGCAGTTATAAAACAGTGAGGTTTTTGGAAACATGATCCCTCTGTAGCTGGAGCTACAGTTAAGAATGAAAACATTGCACCGAGTATGTCAGGCTTTGAGAGCCAGGCAGTTTCTGGTGTAGGAAGTTTGTGAGGTTTTGGCTGGCATAGATAAATGGGTACCACTGTAGGAACCTAAAATGTCCTTCCTTACTGGTGTGTAGGTAGGAAAAGACAGGGTAATTTTTGATAGACTGAGCAAGCTGAACAGTACTGTGATACTGCTATTTAACAATATAAAGAAATGTGGATAAAAAAGGATGTGAGAAGGAGGAGGGCAATTGCTTTCTCTTTACAGTCCCCTTTACCTGTTATTTCCTCTGATCCTGCCGTCACTGAAAAATCTCATCCCAGCAGAAGATTGGGCAGGGGGCACTGGGCTCCTGCTCCTTTCCCCCTCCTGACAGCGGCAGCAGAGCCGGTGCCCTCCAGGCTGTGGGGGAGAGGTGGCCATACAGCTCATTATCTCCTGCCTGCCTGCAGGAGCGGGGGGGGGGGGGGGGGAGCCCCAGCCTAGCTTTGAGGAAGAGGGTGAGGATCAGGAGGGATGGATGAGCCTTGGAGCAGTGTGTTAGATGTGCCACCCTCCCACCCTTACAGCAGTGTTTATTTAATAAAGGTGATGCTTTGATACTTCCATAGCCCTGTTAGGTTGCCCTTTATGCTGCCCCTTGTTCCTCACAGCAGTTCTCCAGGGAGTGATAAAAACCAAATAGTAATGGGCAAGTGGGGAATAAAAGAAACTCACCAAATTCTGAATGAGGCAGCTGGTTGACATTTGCAGTGGCATTACACCAGAGCACCAAAGCATAAACAGCTTTAAATGTCCTACTGAGCATGCAATGAAGGTGAGGAAATATGATTAATGTATGATAAAATATGTCATGACTGTGCCAGTCACGCTGAAGGCGACAGAGGAGAAGATGGTTCCTGTCCCCCAGGGCCAGCTACAGGAGCCACATGTGCTTCATTGGTGACAGTGTGAGCTCCTGACAAGCTCTGCAGGTGAATGGATAGCGCAGTGCATGTCAAAAAACAAGGAGGGAAAAGATGCCAAACCCCAAAACAAGCAGCGGAAGAGTAGAGCCCTGTGCTGAAAGGTGCAAGTCACTACTTGTTTATTTACCAAGTATATGAAAACAGCCCCTTGACCACCTGTGCTTGGAGAGGGACTGCTCCACACTCTGAACATGCTCTTAATCCAGGTTACAGCCTTGGGCTGGGAAACCTGAACAAAACATCCTTGATGCATAGCAGGATCAGCCAGGCCAAGAACTTGGGAGCCCCAAGTGAGCAGCAGAGAGAAAGTGCTGGGAGCTCACAATGCTTTGGAGAAGAACAGAGACTGGGAAGAGGGAGGAGGAGGGGGAGGCTTCAGTGGTATTTTCTCCATGTCAGACTGGTTGTGGGGGGTCACATCAGCCTCGAAGCGGCTGTAGTTGTTGGTACAGTTCACCAAAGTATTGACTAGGCCTCTTCTACCCTTTAATGCAGCTCTGTGCTGCACCTTTCTTGAAGTGCATCTTTTGTTTTTCACACAGGAGAAGAACTTCTACTATTGCACTGTGGTATATAAGGTAAGTTATTAGATACAAGCACACACATTACACGTATGGGTATATTACATATATTATACCATAGAGGAGTGGTGAATGCACCATAGCCTATGAACACAGGCAAGAGAAGCCTTATTTTGCAACCAGTGATGGTCCTTCAGCTTGGAAAACAAGGAAAGAGATGGTTAATCAGATCTTTTTCACTGTACATTTGCTTTCCTCCAACAGCTTGCAGGCTTTATTACTGGATTTGATTGAAATCCAACCCTTCTTAGTCCACTCAGGTAAAGTCTGAGAAGCTCCTGCTGCACAGTCTTGAAAGGAAACCTTCAGTGGAAACCAAGAAAGCAAATGTAACAGCCCAGCCAGATATTTTAAAGGCCAAAATTATGGTTCCCCCCTGGAAATCTTCTACTTAACAGCAAGCCATATATAAAGTTTCAGAAGGAGAGGTGGAGCAGCAGGTATATATAGGTATATAAAGGTAGCCAGTGGAAAGAAAGAAGCAAAACCAAAAA